AATTGGGGCGCCTGGGTGGCCCAGTCGCTTAAGCGTCCGACTTCGGCTCAGGTCATGATCTCGCAGTCTGTGGGTTCGAGCCCCGCATCGGGCTCTATGCTGAGCCTGGAGCCTGTTTCAGATTCTGTGTCTCCCTCTCTCTCTGCCCCTCCCCTGCTCATGCTCTGTCTCTCTCTGTGGCAAAAATAAATAAAAGCATTAAAATAATAATAATAAAAGAAATAATGATAATTAACGGCCGTTGTCCCATGCTATGTACCTACCGTGTGCCTGACCTCATTCAATCCTTATGACAATCCTGAGAGGCGGGAGATGGGGCAGGATTCTGGATTTAGTCAGATCTCTGTACCGTAGTTTGCAAGTCGAGCCTACATAATTTGCTCAGTACTGTTGGTGGATTCAACGGATAATGGCAAAAAGGTACAGCGCTGTTCTCGGCACTTTATTATTTCTAAAATTTTTAAAAAATTTATTTTGAGAGAGCGAGCGAGAGAGAGAGAGAGAGCCGTGGAGGGGAGAGAGAGAGAGAGGAAGGGAGACAATCCCCAAGCAGGTTCTGCGTTGTCAGCGCACAGCCCGACGTGGGGCTCGATCTCGTGAACCGTGAGATCACGGCCTGGGCCGAAATCGAAAGCGGGACGCTCAACCGACTGAGCCGCGCAGGCGCCCCAGCACCTCACTTACCTTGCTGAATCCTTACAACATGCTGTCCACAAGCACCATTTTCCACGTGGGAAACTGAGGCACAGAAACGTTAAGTACCTTGCCTAGGGCAATACTCATAATTATAATAGATTTATGATAGAGGTGGTGGAGACAGCTCTGGGAGTCAGAAAGATCCCCGTGGGTTCAAATCCCGGCCGAACCCGGCCGGACGTGTCACCTCGGGCAGCTCACAGCATCTCCGGGCTTTGGTGTCCTGCTTTGTAAAGTGGAGGGTCGAGGAGTACTGTGGGAGCCGAGGCTTTGGGATAGGTTTAGGAGATAATTCACGGAACAAAAGGGAGGCCGCCCTGTAGACAATGAGTGTTAACTCACTGGCATTAAAATAAAAACTGAAAAAAAAATGTCAGTGTCAGCACGGATCCTCTTTCGGGGTTGGGGAAACAGCAGTCGGCAAGCCAGTTGGGCCTTTAAAACGATCATGAGACAACAAATATTCATTCAGTCGTCCGGAGGGCCCTCCACACTTTGAGTCGCGGGCCACCTCCTCCAGGCAGGACCTGCCGATCGCCTCCCTGCGTCTCCCCAGGGTCAAACGAGTTCATCTGGTCTGTAGCTCAGCGCCGAAGGGCTTTGCCTCAGAAGATGTGTGGCTCTTTGCCTCCTACTGTGTCTGGCCGTCTACCCCAGTCTCCCTTTCCACCTTTCAGCCGGTGGGTGAGGTCCCCATATTTCTTTCCTCCACCTGGGACGCCCCCACAGTCATCTGGCTTGTCCCCCACGTTTCCCTCTAGGCTCTGCTCAAGCGTCCGCTCGTCAGAGAAGCCCTCCCGGACCATCTCTGTCCCCTGGGAGCAGCCTTATCTTGCACCGCAGCCCTCCTCTGAACATCCTTTTGTTTAGCTATTTATGGTCTGTTTCCTCTTGGAGAAAGTGAGCTCCATGGCGACAGGGACAGCCTTCCGGCACAGCTGTACGTTCCAATCTCCATTTCACAGATCCGCAGACGACAACGAGGCCCGGCCCAGCGTAGATTGGCACAGGGCAAGGACGGGTTCGTCGAATGAATGCTCGAGCCGCATCTCAAGCGGCCAGAAGGGCGCCAGGCCGCCCCCTGGTGGCCAGGGCGAACGTGGGCCCGCTCGGCGGCCCAATTTCCCACCAGAGCTTCTCGTAGCCTGATAATGACGGACTAATGCGAGAACTTAACTCCGTTTCACATATAACCACAAGGTATTTTTTACGGGTATTTTTTGAGCTTCCAAATTGTATTTGCAAAAAAAAAAAAAAAA